ATGGCCGACTACAATAAAAAATGGCAAGGCATGGCACCGCCTAGGCCGAGTTTTACAACACTGATTGTGATAGGAAGTCAGCTATTGCCATTACTAAGAATCTAGTGTTTCATGAGCATACTAAACACATAGAACTGGATTGCCACTTGATTAGAGAGAAGCTGAGCAAATGCATCATCAAGTTCCTCCATGTTACTTCTGGAAATCAACTAGCAGATACCTTTACTAAGCCCACTGCCCTGGCTCTTTTCACAGCTATATATCCATGCTTGGATTGCTCAATTTATACAATCCAGCTTGCGGGGGGCTATTAGGAGATCAATATGGTTGAAACTTGGCAGCATCTCCTTTCTCCATTCTGTTATGTTAGTTAGCTGCTTCTGTTATTTTAGCTAGTTGTTTCTTTTCCCTCTAATTTCCTTATATAAAACATATTGTTTCTATTGGCTTGAGTAATGAGAAAATATATTTTTCTTTCATCTTCCCTCGCTGAGCTCTGAAACAAGAAGAGCAATACAACAACTATGGAAATGCCCTCCTTGTTCGTTCAGAAAATATTGTGGCCTCTTTCTATCCCTCCAATATATTATATGTGTGACCATTTAACATGCACTTACTTCATGCTACTTGAATTCTTCATGGCCATCATATTTGATCTGTTTTTCCTCTCAGCTCACTTCTATCTCATATTTCGTTACCTATCTAACTGCAGTGTGTTCACCTTTTCTTTTTTACTTAATTAATTTATCAATTGTAGAGGAAACGTGTAAACAACAAAAGAGGAAGAATTGGATGTGGAGGATGAGAGTGATCTTTTGGTGGGTTAGGCAAGTATTTTAATTGGCACAATACTCTATTGCAAATCATACTACATATTATATATTTTGGTAAACTGGAATGGCTTCTGCTTCCAAAAAAAAGAAAAAATTAAAAATAGCAAAACATACACACACACACATGACAACCCAAAAATAATTTTTCTAAATTCTATTTTATAAAATTTCAAAATAGCTATTTTCACCCTTCCAAAAATTTTATTTCGAAAACAGTGTTTGAATTAAATATTTTTAACTGAGATTTTAAATAAATTCAACACCAAGAGTTATCCTATTTCGAAAATCCTAAGTTTCAAGTACATTTATGTACCAAGTTTTGACCCAAAAAGTCAATCTGAGTGAAACCTAGGAGGAACCTGTGAAACTGGAATCAAGTGTTTTAACTAGAAACTATTTTTATAAAATCTATTTTTGACCCCAAGTTATCCAAAATCATTTTTAGACCTTGGTCCATGGTACAAGGTGAACCATGAGACTCCTTCAACCTTTGCCTGATTTTTAGAGCAAGCAAGCCAATTTACTCCTTTGTCCTCAATCAATTATTGATGATCAACCTAGGGTTTTGCACCCATATAAATAAAATCGCACAAATCACTATGGATTAATTCTAGTGGTTCAGTTTGCCTTTCAACCAATTTGAAAGATACTTTCGTTAGTTTTGCCTCAACACAAATTTCACATTTGTTATTTGTGTTAATTTGAAAATTAGGAATATGGTGCATGCTAATTAATCTATGTATAAAATTAAAATTAACATGACCTAGTCTATCATGCCACAAATTGGAAGACCCCAGCAAGTACACAGAAGTAACTTTGCTTTTATTCACGACAATATGCATTACATTGAGCTTAAAAAGCCCATCAGTTACATAACCTTTGCGTACAAACATTCCTAACTTAGACAAAACAACCTTGTCTGACTCGAACCCATGTTTGTTCAGTAGCAAGCCAGACACATTCTTCCTCAGCTCCGGAATATACAACACGTTGTTCAACGTCAGTTCCTTCCCGAAAGTCATCTTCAGAACCACGTTGCCCATGCCTTCCACAGCAGACTATGCGGAGTTTCCCATCCACACCTTTTCGCCTTCAATGGTCTCAAAGGTGTTGAACATCTCTCAGTTTCAACACAAGTGCCTAGTTGCACCGGTGTCGATGAACCACTCACGTGGGTTAGAGCTCACAAGGTTCACCTCGGTCACCATGGCCGAAAGGCTAATCTCGGCCTCTTTCTGGTTGCTTCTTCAACCATGTTGGCTTCATAACTGTTGTTCTTCTTCTTTGGAACCTTGCATTCAGAAGACTTGTGGCCAGACTTGCCACAATTGAAGCATTTACCATGAAACTTTTTCTTTGTAATTGTTATAATAATAATAATAATATTATTATATTATTATAATGTTAAACCAAGTAAGTAAGTTAGTTAGTTAATTTGTTAAAAAAATAAAGGGAGTAATGGTTGCATGCCATCATGGAGTGTGCAGCAACATTTCATGGGATAATGGCATAATGGCAGTTAGTGCTTACATGCATTTCCTAAAATTTAGCTTTATCATTTAGTATAAATAGATTGTATTCTTCATTCATTATTTATCAATTCAAAGAGTTATTTCCTCTCTCTCTCTCTCTTCTCAATATATAAATATAATATATAGATATATTATATTTAATATATATTATAGATATATTATATTATATTTAATATATATTATATTAAATATATTATATTTAATATATCTTACATTTGGTATCAGAGCCAGTCAACCTTTCAACCCCGAAATATTTCCCGTAGTGAAATATGACAACAAATTTCAATATTGTATGGTCGGGTCCCAAATTGGACGGGAAACTCGATTACAATTATTGGCAAATTATGATGTCCACACATTTGCAAGCTCAAAATCTTTGGAGCTTTGTTGATCCCGGTCTACAAGAAGGAGCTGAAGCAGGAGCTATACGGCGAGATAAATTGGCCTTGGGTCAGATTCACCAAGGTGTTCATTATTCCATTTTTGGGCAATTAGCTCGTGCTCAAACAGCAAAACAAGCTTGGGACATCTTAAAGGTATCACACAAAGGAGTTGATCGGGCGCAGAAGTCTAAGTTGCAGTCGTTGAGAAGATTGTACGATAATTGTGAGATGACCTCTACAGAAACAGTAGATATGTATTTCACTCGTCTTATTGATATGGTGAATAAGATGAAGTTATACGGAGATACAATTGAAGATGGTGCAGTGGTTGAAAAAGTTCTTCGAACTATGCCGATGAAGTATGACTATGTGGTGGCTTCAATAACAGAGTCACACAAAACTGAGCTCTTATCAATTGCAAAGCTTAAAGGTATGGTAGAAAGTCATATTGATAGAATTGCGTCAAAGTCGGAACCACTAGCAGAAGAAGCTTTGAAGAGTCAAGTCACCCTTAATGTGACTGGCACTAATCAAAGAGGTGGAGGATCTGGTAGAGGTCGTGGAAGAGGAAGAGGAGGTTCTAGTGGAAGAAGTCGTGGTAACTTCAACCAAGGAGGAAGATGTGGTAACTCTAACCAAGGAAGAGGTGGAGGTAATACCAAACAAGGTAAATTTCCATTTCATTGCTACAATTGTGGCAAGTATGGACACAAGATTGCAGATTGTTGGTATAATGAGGACAACAATCGTGGAAATCAAGCAAACATTGCTGAAAACTCTGCTGAAAAGTCTGGTGAGAGTTCTGAAACTTTACTTTTAGCCAGCGATAGTTTTTCTGCAGATAAGAACATATGGTTCTTGGATACTGGGTGTAGTAACCATATGTGTGGGAAGAAAGAATTGTTTTCTGAACTGGATGAATCAGTCCGGTCTGAAGTGACATTTGGCAATAAGTCAAAGGTGCCAATTTTAGGAAAAGGTAAAATCTCTATTCAGTTGAAGGATGGTACTCAAAATTTTATATCCGATGTGTTCTATGTTCCTGAACTACACCAAAATTTGTTGAGTATGAGTCAGTGGTCAGAAAAAGGATATAAGATACATATTGCTCAGGGGTGTTGTACCATTGTAGATTCTAAAGGAGTTTTGATTGCAAAGGTAAATATGTCCCAAAATCGACTATTTCCTTTGAAAATTAAGCATACTCTCCTTGCTTGCTTTAATTCTGAAGTTTGTGATGAAAAGTGGTTATGGCATATGCGATTCGGGCATTTCCATTTCTCTGGATTACACTATCTTGCGAGAAAGGAACTTGTTTCTGATTTACCTGTTGTGAATGTCTCTGATCGTATATGTGAGATTTGTGTGATTGGGAAGAAGCATAGAGATCCCTTCCCTGTGGGCAAGTCAAGGAGAGCCACAAAACAGTTGGAGATTATTCATTCAGACCTGTGTTCGTTGGAGGTTCCCTCACATGGAGGTTGTAAGTACTTTATTACTTTCATTGATGATTTCAGTAGAAAAACATGGGTTTACTTTCTGAAGCAAAAGTCTGAAGCATGTGATGTTTTCAAACAATTTAAGGCTTTTGTTGAAAAGCAGAGTGGTTATGAAATTAAAATCTTGAGAACTGATAGAGGTACAGAATATATTGCCTGTGATGATTTTCTGAAGAAGAAGGGTATCCAACACCAAATGACAGCTAGATACACTCCACAACAAAACGGAGTGGCTGAGAGGAAGAATAGGTCTATCATGGATATGGTAAGGTGCATGTTGAAATCCAAGAATCTGCCTAAACCTTTTTGGGCAGAAATTGTTGCTTGTGCTGTCTATGTGTTGAATAGGTGTCCAACTAAAAGTGTGCGTGATAAGACACCCGAAGAAGCTTGGAGTGGGAGAAAACCTTCTATCAAATATCTCAAGGTTTTTGGATGTTTGGCATATGCACATGTGCCAGATCCGTTGAGAAAGAAGTTGGATGATAAAGGTGAGAAGTGCATATTCATTGGTTATAGTGACGCTTCAAAAGCTTATAAACTATACAATCCTGAAACTAAAAAGGTTGTTATAAGTCGTGATGTCACTTTTGATGAATATGGTGCCTGGGATTGGTTAGCTAAAGATGAAAGTTCAGTTGTTATTCCTGTTGTTGAAAATATTGTTGAAGAGCAACCGATTCCAGATAATGTCCAGTCTCCTACACAGCAGCCAGAGCCGTCAGTTCGACGATCTCAGCGCGAGCGCCACTTACCAGCTCGCTTGCAGGATTATGTGTTGGGCCATGATAATAACCTGTCGGATGAAGAGATTATTCAATTTGCTCTTTTTGCAGATTGTGACCCTTTATCCGTTGAGGAGGCTGCTACAGAAATTCATTGGCTTAAGGCGATGGATGAGGAGATTCGTGCCATTGAAAAGAGTCGTACTTGGGAGTTAACAGATTTACCTCCTGGGAAGAAACCAATTGGAGTAAAGTGAGTTTACAGAACGAAATACAAGTCAGTATATCCAACTTGAAGACGGAGACATTTCTTAAATTGAAGAATGAGATATTGGGATGACCAATATATCCAACTTGGTTTAAAGGAGGAAATGTTAATAATAATAATAATAATATTATTATTATATTATTATAATGTTAAACCAAGTAAGTAAGTTAGTTAGTTAATTTGTTAAAAAAATAAAGGGAGTAATGGTTGCATGCCATCATGGAGTGTGCAGCAACATTTCATGGGATAATGGCATAATGGTAGTTAGTGCTTACATGCATTTCCTAAAATTTAGCTTTATCATTTAGTATAAATAGATTGTATTCTTCATTCATTATTTATCAATTCAAAGAGTTATTTCCTCTCTCTCTCTCTTCTCAATATATAAATATAATATATAGATATATTATATTTAATATATATTATAGATATATTATATTATATTTAATATATATTATATTTAATATATCTTACAGTAATGCCTCCATTCGGACCTAGCTTTCGCTTGTCCTTCTTGTTCGTCTTGGAGCTTTTACCGTGCTCCACAACATTGGCCTTGGCGCCACTAATGATAGGACCTCGCCCATCATTCTTCCTGTTCCCCTCCTCAATTCTGAGTCGCTGGATCAAGTCCTCCAGGTTCGTTCATCTCCTTTCGCTTATGCTTAAGGTAGTTCTTGAAGTCCTTCCACCCTGGAGGCAGCAAGTGGATCACATATCCCACTAGGAAGGCTTCACTCAACACCGTGCCCTCGTCACGGATTTCGTCGAAGATCAATTGCAAATCTCTACCTGACTAAGCACGGTCTTTGAATAAACCATTTTGAAGTCGAGGAATCAGCCAACCACAAATTTCTTTGTCCCGTCATCCTCACTTCTATATTTGTGATCCAAGGCTTCCCACAGCGCTTCCGATGTGCCAATCTTGCGATATACATCGTATAACGCATCACACAATCTGTTCAAGATGTAGTTTCGGCATAGGAAGTCCGAATCTTTCCATTAGCCAACCGTCATCACGGATTGGGCATCTTGTTCCTTTAACTCATGAACTTTCTCGGTCAAGAACCTTGTCAAGCCAAGAGTTGCAAGGTTGAACAACATCTTTTGTTGCCAACTCTTGAAGTTCGATCCACTACCGGTGAACTTCTTCGGTCTTTCAGCCGAACCACTTGGTACCGTAGGGACCCGCATCGTAGGGATGTATCCCTCGGTGCTCCCACCATCTTGTGAACCAACGTTCACCGATGGTGCCTGAGAATTTGCAATGTTGTTGCCATTCTCACCACTGCAACATTTTCCTCCCCTTGATTAGGCAGTACGGGGTTCTCCATTTTCTTCAAGGAAATTAGGAGATTAAACCAACAGGAAAAACAAGGTATAAGGTTTTAAGATTGTTGGATATATCGTTGGTAAAACCCAAATAGTAATCTTTTTATAGGATTATTATTTGGATTTTACCAACGATATATCCAACAATGTCATGTAGCAGAACTCTATATGAATTTGCCTACTGGTGGTTTTTGTACTGTACTGTACTTGTTGCATGTGGGTTTATTGCTGTTGTTATTTTGTTGGATTACTCAGGAATTTACGCAGTGTTGTTAAGGCTTTTATTTATTACCAGAAATGAATGAATGAGCTATTTGGAAATAGACATTTATGAGCAGTGGCGGAGCCACCTTGTATGAGCAGGGGGCCTTGCCCCCCCCCCCCCCCCTCAAGGCCCCCCCCCCCCCCTCAAAACAAATTCTAGAATTAGTATAGATTATAGAGTAGCATTTTAGAATTAGGATTACCTGTTTCCAATGGCGGCTTGGCCCCTCTCCACAAATCTTTTTTTATTTATTTATTAATATTATAATGATTGTTTTGTGGCTCCCTCACCAATATATATAATTTTCTACCCTCCAAGAAAATTTCTAGACTAGATTTTGGCAAATTATTGTGTGGACCATAACAAAAAGTACATTTTTAATATACTAAATGTACATTATTTGTGTATTGAATGCACATTATATAAAATAATATACTTTTCCTAAATACAATTTACATTATTAATATATTAAAAATACATATTTTTGTACTAAATGTTATTTTATAACATACAAAATATGGTCCACATAGCTTGTATGGACTATGGTCTACACAATAATGATTGCTAAGTTTTATACTCAAACCATCCAAATTCCAAACTTGTAAACCAGAAAGGCAATACACAGACAGTCAGATTTTCTTCAATTCTCAATCTGCAAATCTATAGGTAATTTTTCATTTCTTTTTTATTCTTGAAATCTTTGAATTTTTTTTATGAATTATTCTTTATTGGGGATGGATTCATCCGTCCTCACAACAACAAAAAGTTTAGATATTGTAGTAGTTAAATGATAGCTAAATGCCTAAATCCTTTTTTTGATTTCCTCAATTGACGATGGCAACCGCGGTGATCGGCCCCCCCGCACCAAGGAATCCTGGCTCCGCCACTGTTTATGAGGTAATTAGTTTTCAACTAAATCTTAAGAAGCTCAACTTCATTAAGACCTGTCTCCCATGGTGAAACTTATGTTGCAAGCTTGGCAATATCGCACTTGAGGAAAATAATGTTCAAACTTTGGACTTGCAATGCCCACCATGAACTAACGATTCAAACCCCTTGCAAATCTCAAATAATTTACACTAAGAAAAATAATACCAGTAATAATTAAACTATTAAAAATATTTTAAAATATTTTTCAACTATACTAAAGACTTATTTCTTGAAGTACTAAAAGTCAATATAATGCTGTCATTTTGCAATTTAAAACATAATGCTTCGCTCTGCTGCCAGAAGGAAATTGCCCTAACCATGTGCTTTTTTTTTCTTTTTGTTCTTTTTTTTTTTTTTTTTCTGGTAATGAAACAAAATTAAGTATTAATGTCAACTATGCACATGATGGGCATAATATATATAATAATGAGCTATTATATTATATTTTAGCCTCACTGTACTTGTTCCAAATCATACATACAAAATTTGATCAGACCCCTCTTCTTATTAAATGAGCGCCATGTTCGAACAGATCTGTTTGGCGTCGAACAACAAAATCCACAGCCATACAATACTAAATCCTTAGCAGCAACAAGCTAAGCAAGGAGGAATTGAAGAAGAAGAAGAAGAGAAGAAGAAGAAGATCAGAAGAAGTAGTGGCGCCACCATCATCCTCAGCCACCATCATGTGGAGATAAGCTTAGCTATCTGCTTGTGGTTAGAGACTGGGATTTCTTAATGCTGCTTTAATTTAGGTAATCTTCTTCTTCTTCTTCCTGTTCTTATTTATATGAAGAGCTACAAACTTCAATTACCAAAGAATCATACTCTTATGGCGATTCAATTCTAATTGAATCAATTTATCAAACACATAATCCATAAAGTCGATCTTTTTCTAATCCCCTTTTTTTCAAAGCGAGATTGAAATTGTGAGTATGTAGTATGTCTATTGCGTGTCCTATTCTTATAACTACAAACAATTCCAAAGATTCTCAAGCATAATTATTGAACCCTAAATGATATAAGAGATCAAATTATAGCATACTGACAACAACAACCTTAACTAATTTAATACATACTCTTTTTATGCAATTGAAATCATAGAAGCATCTATAATAAGAGCAAGCTTAATCCAAATCTCAGAGAAAATCTATCTATTCATGATTAGATTTGTAAAGTAAAGGCACAACGGAATTGCATGTAATGAAAACACAAGTAAAATTGAAGGAATAATTGAAATGTAAGTAATGAAAACTTAGCTCTGATCCAATGTAGATTGAAGATACAAGCTTGAATTGAAATTGGAATAAATTGAATTTCAATATTGACTTGAACTCTAATTTAACATAATATAACTTTATTCTAAGTGGAGAGAAGTTAGAGAGTGAAAAGTCCTTAAAAATAACTACCAATTTCCTTTTTAATAATTGATGGAATCGCCCCTACTTATAAAATATTGGCCTGATCCACGCTCAGAGTCACATCATGACGTTGATTGTGATTTATATACTTTGTGCAACAATTATGATCTCTAAGCTATTTTTCACCTTATACAAGTTTGAATTAGATTTTTCAATCTTCACAAAAGTAGTAATAAATCTTTGAATTAGCTTTCCATCGCCATTAAAATCGCATGATTTGGATTTTGGACATTCCTATTTCCTATACTAAAATATTATCAAAATACCAAAGCGTCCGGTTGATCTTTACGGGCGTGATTGACTGCCAGCCTTACCCTTGGTCCTCACTCTACAATTCGTTTTCTTCATTTCATTTGACCTTTTGAGTCCCCAGGTCATGTCACAGTACTTCTAACTCGATCTTTTTTACTTCTATTTTAAACCTCTCACGATTCTCGAAACGCGCCTATGTGCCAAAATAGTTTACTTGGGATCTAAGACTTACAATCGTTACGACTACGGGATGTTGCCTTAATGGTTGAGTGCTCACTCATCTATGTCTAATGTCTTGACCACACTTTTAGTATTCTACCACCTCTATATTTTTATAATAGCATACTAAGCGATATAATAAAAAAAGGCTTTACATGACCTCCTCAATTTTAGGAACTATTTCTCATGTTGTGTATATTTTGAAGGGTCTACAGTTCTACACTAATTTGTGCATCTATTTAAACCTAGATGTTGCTCATGTTTTTAAAAAATGAATCAAACAGAAAAAAAAAATATAATATTTTCTTTTAACGGAATAAAAAATGACTGATTTCTAATGTTGAATCAAACACTAAAAAAGGTAAATATTTTTTTAAAAAGTAATTATTTTTTAAAAATTATTTTCCTATTTCTAAGCTCACCCTTATTCACTTATATTCATGAGTATGGTATAGACTTAAAGGTGCCTCCTACAGTTAGGGCCTGCTTACTGAAAAAAAAAAATGCATTCCCATTTCTTTTTTTTAATATTTGATTCCTATTAACATTTTGATTCTAATATTTGAACCAAATCCAAATGCACTCATTGTTAGAACGAAGCTTCATTTTATGAGGGACTAAAAAGCCACTTTAGTCAAAATTGAGAGGTTAAAGATGGACATGGGTATAATTTAGGGACGGAGTCCGTATAACTCGATAACCAAAAATGTAATTTCTCTTACATATAATTATATTTAAATATTATGACCACCAAACTAATATCTAAACCAAAAGAGTTAAATTATTTGAAATGTTGTTTTCAAAAAAATTATTTGAAATGTTAATTAAAATAATTGGACAAATATTTGATATTAAATTACCTGAGAATAAGCCTAGAAAAAAACATTGCTAACCGCTACCGCTAATTTTAAAATCATGCAATGGTTGTTTAGACTTTAGCGTTGACAGGAGAATTGCTGTCTAAATTGTATCACATACATTCATCTTTCATTTCTTCTTAGTACTGCTCTGATCATCTTACCTCATAGACAGACACAAATGGCTTATGCTGCTGTAACTTCGCTTAAAGGAACACTCCATCTACATTTCTTCTTGCAATCACAACCACGCCTGCCTCTTATTTATAAACGAAATATGGTCTCTCTCCATAGAAATCTTAGTTTCCTTCAAGAAAGTCTTGAGGAATCTAAGATCACCTATGATGATGCGGGGGCGATGAAAGATCTAGAGGCAGAGATGAGATATGTAGCGTTCAAAGCTGAAGAAAGGATTGAGATGGAGTTGACTACCATTTATCTAGCAAAGAGTTGGACGAAGCGTCTTGCTTGCTTCCTCAAGCTTCATGGAATCTTTATTCAAGCTGTAATACAGACTGATTACCTCAAGAAGAAGTTGATTAAGATTAAAAGTAAACACGAGTTTGCAAAGGGTCCATCAATCACTGGCGTTTCACTCCTTGGTCGGATGCGACAAAGAGGACTACGACTCCTTGGTTCAACATCATCGCAGCCTGCTAATCCAGAACGCGAGAATAATATTACTGTGAGTAAATTTTCCAACAGCGCTTCAAAGTTTGACAGTAGAATGGTTGGATGCGACAAGGAATTCAAGACGATATTGAATAAGCTCACGCAACAATCAGCTGAGCAGCTCCAAGTTGTATCAATCGTTGGCATGGGAGGAATAGGCAAGACCACTTTAGCTGGGGAAGTCTACAAGGATCCATCAATTACTTCTCATTTTTACAAGCAAGCATGGGTTACTGTATCCCAAGAGTATACCGTGGGGCAAATGCTCAGATGCCTTATTGGTTGTGTTAGTGCATCAAGTGATGAACAAAGCAGCAATGACCAAGGCGGATTAGCAGAAATGCTACGTAAACGCTTGAAGGATCAGAGATACTTGATAGTGATAGATGATATATGGAGCAAAGAAGCTTGGGATAGTGTGCAAAGGTGCTTTCCAGATGATAATAATGGAAGCCGTATACTACTGACTTCTCGGCTCAGAGAGGTGGCTGAATATACTGCTAGTTCAGATAACTCTATCATTAACATGCCTTTCTTAGATGCCAATGAAAGTTGGAATCTCTACTGCAATGTGTTTGGTCAAACAGAATTTCTTTCAGTGTTTGAGCAAATTGGTAGAGACATAGTGAAGAAATGTAAAGGATTACCTCTAGCTATTACTTTAGTAGCTAGTCTTCTCTCCAAGACAGAGGAGAAGGTGGAAAAGTGGAAGAATGTTGCAGAAAGTGTAATTGGTGATTCTAATGAAGCATGTTCAAGTGTACTATCTTTGAGTTACAACCAATTACCACACCTGTCAAAAGCTTGCTTTCTATATTTTGGAGTTTTTCCAGAAGATTATGAAATCCCTGTAAAGAAGTTAGTTAAGTTGTGGGCAGCAGAGGGATTTTTCGGGGCTGTGAACAATAAGAATCTGGAGGAAGTGGCCACGGAATGCTTGAAAGATCTTGTTGCTAGAAGTCTTGTTATAATTGGTAAACAGAGTTATGATGGCAAAATCAAGACAATTAGGATGCATGATCTGTTGCGAGACTTGTGCTTAAGAGAATCTCGATGTGAAAATCTCTTGTATGTCATTGGAAATGATTATCATGGTGCTTTTGCTGGGCCAATAAAACTCCCATTCAACAAGAAGAAATCACAGCACTTGTTTTCAAAAGCTTGTCCTTGGATAATAAGTATTAAACCTCAATGTTACAATATTCAAATTACATCTATGGGCTTTGGAAAATTCCATTCCTTACACTCGTTTGATAATATTGATTTCAACATTAAGGTGCTTTGTCAGTTCAAACTATTAAGAGTAGTAGACATGAAACTTGGATTCTGGAACTTTGAAGGTGAGATGCTATATATGGCAAATCTTGTTCACTTGAGATACTTAGCTTTGTCCCTAAGTGAAAATGTAGGCTCTCTTAAACTAAAGCTCTTTCAGCATTGGAATATGCAAAGTTTTATTGTTCGTGGATGTAGTGTTATATTGGGTTCACGTGAGGCATCTCGAATTTGGAAAATGCCATTGTTAAGGAATTTTTATGTGGACATAATTCCTTTTACATTAGAGGCTTCCAAGGTTGTTCATAGAAACATAGAGACTATATCTTGGTTGCGTCCAAAGTGTTGTACAGAGGATCTTTTTACAAGGATTCCAAATTTAAAAAAATTGGGAATTAAAGGTTCAGAGGATTTTGAAAATGAAAATTCAGATGGTTTCTATAATTTTGTGCACTTGGGGCAGCTTGAGAAACTAAGCATCGAATGTTGGGATCTCCAACTTCCGTATAGCGACATCCCTTGGGCAACTAGTTTTCTACCAAATCTTAAGGAGCTCAAATTCGTCTGTACTTGGTTACCATGGAGTGATATAAGGTTCATTGGTATGTTGCCGAATCTAAAAGTTCTAAAATTGATATATGCTTGTGAAGGCAAAGAGTGGGAGCCATATGAGGGAGGGTTCCGTCAATTGAAAATGTTGGTAATTGAAAGCTCATGTCTCGAAGATTGGAATGCTGTGGGTGATCATTTCCCTGTGCTTGAACATTTAGAGTTAAGTTGTTGCTGTTTGTTGCGAGAGATCCCTATTGCGTTTGCTGATATCACCACACTTGCATTGATTGATCTATATAAATGTCGGCATTCTGTTTTGGCTTCCGCAAATCGTATTCAAGATGAGCAGCAGCGGAGCTATGGAATTGATGCTCTCCTTGTTCATTCTAAAAATATTCAGGTCTCTTTCTATCCTTGTCTCCATTACATCTCCGACCGTTTCACATTTCATGCTATTTAAATTCTTTGCCCAAGGTAGCAATTTCTCTGCAATCAATAGTTATGTGCATGCTTTCTCTCATTTTTCTGTATCTCATTTTTTTTTACCTATATAAATGCGTTAATAACTTAATTTATTGTTTCCAGGATGGACCGCCAGAGTAAATTAAACATCTCAAATTAAAGGAAGGATGTGACGAGGGTAGGTACTTAAATAAGTGTGTTGTATGTATTTGCATACACCTATACTATATGTTTATTTTGTTTTGTTTCTTCTCAAAAAAAAATCACACGTAATTAGTTGTTTTGATTTTTTGGCTTTTTCTGTATTTTTATATGCTTTTAATCTTAATCTTTCATCAACCATTTCGTTTCTCCTTAACATCTAATTCTTAAACACATACATAAAACTACAAAGATTGAGAGGCGATGAAAAGTTAAGAGCAACAAAGCTAAGCAGTGATGATATATGGATATGATGTTGGGGTAGCATAGCAGGAGCTGTAATATATAAATAGAAAATTTTATATGTACTCCAAACATTTACACTTAAGGATGGATGTGCGTGAATAGGAGGAAGACAGTGAGCAATATGCTGAATAAATGATTTCACCATTCTGTTTCTCTTTAACATCTTATCCGATATGATCTTAAACACAGATAAATGAGGAGGTGCTTCTATAGCTGAATCCCAGATCTCCAAAGATCAAGTTTAGAGGCACAAATGTGAGGTGTTGGCTGTTTCGGTGATCTGAAATGTTTTGTTTTTCTGGGTTGAAGTTGCTGATTGGAGCTTTGGCTTGGAATATAATGAATCTGCTAGTGGTTTTGTACTTGCTGTGGGATTATTATTGTGGATATTTTGGCTCAACACTCTATTACATGATATACCTTATACCATGGACCAGGGTTCACAGTGTACTGTGGATCTGAATTGGTCTTAAATGACGTAGTTTGGAATATAATGAATCTGCTAGTGAGTTTTTGTGTCTCATGTTATTAAATTCTGTACCTAAAAACAGGAAACTACAAAATCTTTTTAAGCTTAAATATCAAAAGATTCAAAACGACGTCGTTTTGATTTAGGATCCACAATGCTATGTGGACCTTGATCCACGATATAAATTGTCATAATATACAATATCAATCTATAATTTTATAAACAATCCATTTATGAAATAATGTAATTAAATTTTTATTGCAACTCAAAACAAGTTGGTAGTGTTGAGTTTTTTTTTTTTTTTTTTTTTTTTTTTTTTTTTTTAATATAATAATGTTACGGAGTATATTTTTGTACTAATTTTACTTCTTAATCTATGTGCATCTTTGAAATATTCTTTTACTTTTAAAATTGGATTTTACTATTATATGATTTATTTATATCATTGTCAAGAAACACATTCATGAATATGATGCTTCAAAATGATTGGTACAACAAAGTATATATACAAGTAAGGAACCTAAACTATAAGGCATGACTCTTCTTATAGGACATGACTCTTTTATTTTAACACTCTCCTTCAATTAAGTTGAGCATATAGTATAGGTTATATGTATTAGGACTATATGTATTTGAGTCAAGTTATGATTCTCTATCCTAGTCTTCATGTGACTCCTTCACTATATATATATATATATATATATATATATATATAGGGTTGAGTTCAAATGAGGACAACAATATATAGAGGATATCCTCTATAATGGGCACACAACAAATTAATACCATGCACACAACTTAATACATAATGTAAACATCAGGTTTTGAACCCAGACTCTATAAATTAACAAATCTAGCACGCGACATACAAACTGTGGCACACGACTACATTCGGCCATGCACACGACATACCAGCTAATGGCACACACTACTTCTGTCCTCACAGTCCTCTATAATATACTTATCCTCATTTGAATACACATCTATATATATATATATATATATATATATATATATATATATATATATAATTCCCACCCCCGTCGACCAAATGGATGTTGCCATCTTCACCGACTTTTCAAGATTCGGGTGGAACTGGCGAGTGGCATGTCATATGCGCTAAACTTGTTACAAACATAATATATCATAGGACCTCTAAATGACTAGTAAGAATATCCGCCAATTGATTAGTGGAGTTAGCATGCCTTGTAGTAATCAATCCTGATGTAACATTTTCCCTAATGAAGTAACAATCAACTTCAATATGTTTGGTTCGTTCATGAAAGATGGATTCATAGCAATATACTGAACTTCCTGGTCGTCACATATTAATGTCATCTGTGTACAATCACAACATTGTAGCTCTTGAAGTACATGCTTTAGCCATATGATTTCACATGTAGTTAAAACCATGATACGATATTCATCATCTTTTGCACTAGATCTGACTACTACATCTTATTTCTTTCTTTTCCATGAAATTAAGTTACCACAAATGAGAATACAATACCTAGATGTGGAGCTTTTGTCAAATGGAAAACCTATCCAATTAGCATTAGAGTATCTAATGATCTGAGTATGACCTTTATCTTCATAAAGCAATCATTATATTGGCCTAATGCTTTCTTGATGTATTTCAAAAATCGAATAGCAGCATTCCAACGATCAATACAAGAACTTTTAAAAATTGGCTTAATACACTTACTACAAAGAAGATATCTGGTGAGTAATTGTGAGATAGTTCAATTTTGTAATACGGTATGTCTTCTGTAATGCTCTAATTTTGATAGTGTTTCACCTTGATTTGAGAAGAGTTTGACATTAGGATCCATAGGAATATCGATGGATTTGCAATCACGCATCCCAATTTCTTAAAAAATCCCTAAAGCATATATACTTCCTTTGCGAGATAATTATACCATTACAGGATTGGACCACTACTTAATTCCAAGACAAATTAGCCCTTCATGGACAATCAATGCCGCATCTGCTTCTGCTACAATCAGCTGCTTAGTCAAGACTTTGGCAGCTAATTCATCCCCATCATAGCTTTTCAGGATCTCCTCAATCCATAGAGGCCTAACAGTTGAGATGGACATGAACTCAGTTTGTTCCACACCCCTTTTTCTGGAAAGAGCATCAACCACACAATTCTCCTGACCCCTCTTGTATTGTATTTCATAACTCAATCCCAGCAACTTGGTGAGGCCCTTATGTTGCATGACAGTAGTTATTTTTTGTTCCAGCAGAAACTTTAGACTTTGGTGGTCAGTCCTAATGATGAAATGTTTCCCACACAAGTAAGGTCTCCACTTGTTTATGGCATTAATTATTGACAAATATTCTTTCTCATAAATGGACAAGTCCAAATGCTTAGTTCCAAACCCCTTGCTAAAATAAGCTAATGGCCCCCCTTCTTGCATAAGGACTACCCCAATCCCCTTGTGGCAAGCATCAGCCTCTACTACAAACCCTTTGTTGAAATCAGGTAAGGTCAATACTGGGGATGTACACAGAGCTTGTTTCAATTCCTCAAAGGCAGCTTCTGAGTCCCCACTCCATTGGAATGCATTCTTTTTTAACATATCAGTGAGTGGCCTTCTTATGGTACCTAAGACTTGATAAAGATCCTATAGTACCCTGTAAGACCCAAGAAACCCTTTAACTCTTTGATGTTAACTGGTTTAGGCCAAGCAGCCACAGCAGAAGGTTCATATGTATGTATATGCGTGTATATGTAATGAAGTAAAGGGAGAAAGAAGAAGAAGAAGAATACCAAATGTAGGGCACAACAACCATGTCATTTCATTAAGCTTTCAACCATATATATAGTGATCCATACAACCTTTCAACTCTTCAACATAAATAAGGGATTAAATGAAAGGCAAATGAAGGGTCTCATGGTTTAATGGCCATCAATGTAAAATATTTATAACACTCCCCCTTGGCCATTAAATAACTATACTCATGCCTCGTTAAAAACCTCGCTAGAAAACCCACCCAGTGGGAAAAAACTAGACGAGGAAAAAAGTACATGAAGTATATTAAACCATTGTGTTTCACCGGTTGCCTCATTAAAAACCTTAGCCTAAGAAAACCCAGTGGGGAAAAACTTAGCTAAGGGAAAAAGAGTGCAACAATATGCCTTCAGAGCATAATCTTCAAGATTTCAAAGGTCTTCAGGACTATCAACTCAAGTGCACCTATATCAATTGGCTCATTAAAAACCTTAGCGTAAGAAAACCCCGCGGGAAAAACTTAGCTAAGGGAAAAAGAGTACAACCATATGCTTTCGGAGCATATATAATCTTCAGGATTTCAAAAGTCCTCTAGATTGTCCATTCTAGCACAGCTAGGGGTTGTCGCTCCCCTTGAAGATAACAATCTTCTAAGCCAACACATCCCAATTTTATAAACATATTACTCAAAAGTGGATGTAGGCAAAGACTTAGTGAACATATCTGCAAGATTATTCAGTACGGTGAACTTTCTCAACAAGAATTTTACTACTCTTCTGGAGTTCATGTGTGTAGAAGGACTTAGGTGCAATATGTTTTGTAAGGTTCCCCCTTAACAAACCTACTACTTGCTTGGGCAACACAATCTTTATTCGTCCTCATATGGGACATTGGGGGTAAAACATAGCATAACCAGTTTGGGACTTGGCATCATAGGGATAAAATAAAAGAGCTAGTACCCAAGTAGTCCATCAAAACCACATATTGGTTTCTCACATAAATGTCAAAAAATCTTTGTACTTCGAAAATGCTGGAGGATATGTTAAACACAATTCCAATATTTAATTGTAGAGGGAGCACTAAACATTGCTAGCAATTTCATCGCAAATTCAATATCAGGTCTGATGCGACTATAGAACTTCTAGTTCTATAATAATGCTCCAATAACAACGAAGTAATGGACTTCTAGTCCCAAAATATCCTCATTATCATCTTCGAGTCTAAATGGTCCTATATCTACTTCAAGAGATTATTGGACAACCGTTTGTGTGATAAGTAAATAATACTTATCCATATAAAACATCTTCAAGACATTTTTCAAGTAGGCTAACTGGTGTATAAAACTTCTTCAAGGAGAAGCTCGATCTTCAGGTACAGACAATACTTGGATTTCCAAGTCTTTTATTTCAAAACTCCGTCTTTCGGCATGAGCTGATATCACCAAGCTCTCTATGTGTTTCAATGATATTTAAACCGTCAATATCGACTGAGATGATAAATAAATAACTCCATTAGCAATTCATTAACGAACACATAATGGTACATATATTTGCATATTCCTTCTTCGTGAGGAAAACACTCAGTCAATAATATTCAAGTCATACAAAGACTTTAGTAGTTTAATGATACGCGTTGCCATTTTCACTTTCCTCATTTCAAAAGTGTTGAATCCATCAGAGATTTACAAATAAATATTAGCGTCTAATGACCCATAAGTTTGCGGTCATGACGTTCATCAACTGCATATCTAAATTCATAATTCACTACCACTAATGTTAATTTGCGGAACGTAATGCCATTTGTTGTGTGAGACAACATTTGATCAAAATCAATTCAGGGTCTCTGCGTAAACCCTTAAGCTACCAGTCTCGCTTTATATCATACCACCATATTGTTTGTATTTCTCTTTTTGTGCAAACACTCATTTGTAACCTTCAGGGTTTACATTAAATGATGTACATGTTATAAAGAGAATACAGTTTTAGGGAGCTTAGTTGTACATGCCTTAATTTCTCTTTTATACATTAAAAAATCAGGACACTACTGGTGCCTAGCTCTGGATCCAGATTCTCATATATTGAGTGCAATTTATAAAGACAATTCTGTTGTCGACAACTATAACATTTTTCATAAATTTATCCCATATATATAAAATAATGGCGATTTCTAA